ATAATTTAATATTTAAAAAATTATACTATAAGTAAATAAAACTATTTCCCATCTTAAAAATTAATAAGCCACCAAACAAATCAGTTCTTATCTGTGTGTCTAACTTGTGTAATGTGTAAGCTTTAAGAATAAAATTATATGTTTATTGTGGTGTCTGAAAGAAAATAACCAACTAAAGAATGAACAATTTCAATTTAGACCCTTAAAATCGACTACCGACTATTTAATAGATATAGAAACACATCCATTAATGCCCAGCGTTGCGTTTTCGCAACAGTTGACATAGCCCACTATAGCGTCATCTTTGTAAAATGATATGACTTATTTGGGCAGTCAAAGTACTGATTTATTTAACAACAGTTTTCTATCTAATATGTTTTAATGGAAACTGGTCGCAAAACTTAGGTTTATATTACTAGATGGTATATTAAAAGATGTAGGTTAATATTTGAGTTTTTTGAACACGTATTTTCAGTAAGTAGTGGTTTAGTTTGTGTATTAACTGGACAAAAATTTGGTTTTTGGTAGCAACTAATTGTTAAATCATTGAAAAAGATATGTATCAAATAAGTGCTAGTATTTTATTAGTGCTGGTTTGTACTACTGCCCAATTACCAACGTTGCGTTTTCACGACATTGGCCACAAGGTATATTATTAGTACACAAAATCATTTTTGATCCAGAATGGTGGAAGTAAGATGTTCTAATCAGCTTGGCTCGACCATTTCGGTCTATACTAGTATTACTAGTCGTTCCAAACAAAAATTTTTCAAATCGAAGGCACATAAAATTATGTCCATGCTTAAAGACTCTAACCTTATGGAGTCACCTTTCAGTGCAGATCTCTTCCTAGCACCTGTACTGAATTGACTGATGCAGATAGTGGAGATGAAGACTGTGGAGGAACATTCAATAAGCTAAACAAAAATATGTTGGAGGTAGAATCAGAAGCTGTAATTCATCAACAAGATGAAAAAGAAGTATCGACGAAGAAAATATAAATCTATATAAAAAGGGGCAGACCTTTAAAGTATGACACAAGTTCAGGAAGAGATTGAGATGGAAACAGAAATAGAGACACGAAATAGAAAAAATCAAGATATTTAAGTGGCATTTACTGAGATTCGTGCAAAAAGTGTAATTCTCCTATTACGGAAATGGATTTAGGGAGATTTAGTAAATAAAAATTCCCTTTATTTGGTTATTAAACATAAAAAACTCAATGGCACACATATACACACATATGTATAGCCTAGGCTGTGGGTGAAAAAGTACTTTCTAATCCCGGAATTTATGTAATGTAGAGGGCTAATTTTTGTTTCATTTGCTTCCTAAAGCCTAAGGCTTCCTGAGGTTGCCCTTTATAACCTAGGCCAAATAACATAAATTCCTGGATTACAGTGTAAAATCACCATTTTTTTCCCACAGCATGAGCTATTACAGATTTTTGATTTTTTTTAATGAAGAGCTTCTAACAAATATTGTAAATAAGACAGTTCGTTATGCTCTTCATCAAGGTAATAACATTAGAATTTGGAGGGATTTTGGAGGGAAGAGGGATTTTATTAGTTAGTGGGTACTAATTTCAAGTAAATGCATCGTAATTGATTTGAAAACATTATAACATTCCTCCATTTTAACGATAACCTAATCACAGATCGTTCAGACAATACATACAAAATTTCTCCGTAGGTACCTTGAAAGTCTTCGCAAATAATTTACTGAATACACTGTATGAGAAACCGAATCTAGCTTGGAAGAGGCCATGATACCAACCTTGAGGCGTCATGATACGGAAAAAACATATAAAAGGCAAGCCAATACGCTTTTGATATAAATCGTGGTGTTGGAATCGGATACCTGGTTATCTCATACATTTCAATTAGAAAAGGGAAAATACAATGGAAACAAAAAAGAATTTGGCCATAGAGGTAAAATAAAATTGCAGTTTGCTCAACTTATTCCTAAAACTCAATGCGATAGGGTTATGCTTCATTGCTTATATGCTAATAATAGTTCACCTCTATAAAATTAATTCATTTTTTAGGATCAAAGGGAATAGGTTACGTAGCAATCATACGATCAAGTAGAACAGAAAAGTGTCCATGCAGTGAAATATTTAAAAAAATCCATTCGTGGAATTTCTGAAAATTGGTACGACGAGAAAAATAAAGCATCAAATTTCCATAGAACGACGCCAGTTTATCAAGCGAACAGATACTCCTTTGGTCAAAGAAAGAATATCAAAGTAACACAACCACAAATTCGGACTTATAACGAAGATATGGGAGGAACTGATCGGATGGTTAAAAATGTTACCTATTACAAAAGAAATATAACATCAAAGAAATAGTATTGACCATTATTTATCTTTGATCTTGATGTCTCCATATGAAATGTTTGGTTAATTTACCGTAGAATAAGACATTTTATCCCTAAACAAAAAGAAAATAATTTCGATACAGTTTCGACGAAATAATAGCCAAAACCTTATTGACGATGTTCGGCACTCTTCCAAGAAGACCTGGTCCATCTCAATCTTCCATAAACAACCTTATATAAGATGTTTGATTCGACAACATTAGCCATCTTATTTCTACCCAAGGAAAATGAACCGAATACGTCCTTTGTCACTGAACAATCAATAAAAAATGCATTAAATGTAAACCTTATATGAAAAATGTTTTATTAAATTTCATAGTAATTGGCAATATATTTTTTATATTATTTTAGTGTGAGTTTATTTAAAACTCTTATGATATGATTTAACAAAACATTCCATACAACGTATTTGTAAAAAAAATTACATCGTAACTGCCCAGTGTTGCGTTTTTGCAATAACCAATTATCAAAAAAAAAATTTTCAATTTTTTTTTTCAAAAAAAAATTTTCAAATTTTTTTTTCAAAAAAAACGGTTTTCATTTTTTAAATATATTTTTGTTAGGTTTGTAACTATTAGAACATAAATTTTTCAGAAATTAAAAAAAAAAACATAAATAGTTCTAGACATAAATGGGTTAATACTGCCTTCACAACTTGCCTACAACAACTTTGCCTGCAACAAGCCAAAAATGTATTGCAATTTACTTTGATTTGCACAAAGCATTTGACTGGGTGAATGGCTTGGTATCACAAGATAATATCAACACCGAAATCACGAGGCTATCACGGAAATATAATTAATTTTATTAAAAATTTTTTTCGAAATAGAAATTTTAAGGTAAAATAAACAGTTTTTCTATCTAACGTGAGGTATCAAAAAAAAAAAAATGGCACACCTCAAGGCTCAGTAATCAACCTGATGCTCTTTTATTATAGATATTGTACGTGGTACAATACGTGTACGTATGCGTATAGTTATTGAAGCAAGATTGTAAGTGGATAATCTATAGTATTCTTAAAGGGAAACAATATACAGAGGATGGTCAAATTACTACAAGATCAACTCGACAAATTTATAGCAAGGTCTAAATGGAGTGGTTTTCAATTTGCTTTAGTTAAAACTCACTGCATCATGTTCTTAAAGAAACCAAAGGAGACAAAGGAAATACCTACTTTAAAACTTGAGGGGCAGACACTTGAATAAATAAAAACAATAAATATACTTACATACATTCTAATATGCATACCTCATTTCTATTTAAATTACATTTGCCGTTAATAAGCAGGTTAAAGTTTAAGCATGATCGCTTACTAAAACACCTGCATAGGAGAGGAATGTATGACAACTCTTTCTTTCTTATATTAATGAATATATAAACGATAAGTCATACTTCCTTTGAGTTCGTGAAACACATGGTCTGCAAGTCACGATGTTTTCAAGGTTAATTTAACACAACTAGTTCAATATTACCTAAATTCTTGTTAATTTAATAAATTCAATTATTTAGGTTTTTAAATAAAAGTTGATAAAATAAAAATTATAATAATAAATTAATATAATAATTATATCACTTTCACAAGAAACGAAGCGTTAGTTTGGTGTGGTTGACTCGGTGTCTTCTAATAATCGATGCTTCTCTTCTAGTTAGGAACTCCAAGGAGAGATGAGCAATAAACGATTAGATTTCATGGGTTGTTTTGCTCTTTTGCCATAAGATTTGCCAAGTATCCTCTACTGACTTTTTAAAAACAAGTTTGAAATCGTTAGCTAGATGAATTGGGGTAACTCCAGTACTATGGTTGGTAGCTTTTTTGGCAAAATGATGTTCTGCTTCATTACCAGTAATTTCAGTATGAGAAGGCAGCCATATGAGAGAGATTGTGGTCAGTGAAAATTGTATTGACTAAATGGACATATGTGCGAGATTTATTCAAAAGAGATTGGACAAAAAATATTTTAAGCAACAATGTTTAAATCTTTACTCAAATAGGTTACAAAATTAAAATAATTTATACCTATGTAAAAGAAAACAAAAAATACATTAAAGTAAGCCCATCCGCGGTAGCAGAAGTAGCTACTGACCGGTAAATATAAATATAATATTTGCTAAACTTAACTTACCAATTACGGATCGCACTCCCAAATTCCCTCGAGCTATACTTACACATCATAGCAACTACCGATACTTTTCCTGCTGCAAACACATAATCTGCTTTTGTCTTTTCCTTAGCTCCACACAACTTTGAATATAGGGCAACTCCAATTGTCGCTCCTATCATAACAATAAAAATGAGATAATCCCATAACAATTCTTTATGTTCTCTAGCCATTGTACTGATATTGCTCGGACTCAGTCTAAAAAATAACCGTATTTATAAACAAATTACACTAAACAAAAGGAAACGTTAAATAAGGTAAATATCATAATATTTATAGAGGGTTTATGATTATAAATATATTTAAACTATAATTATTTCAGTTTCCTACAAACTTATCGATTTTCTATATAGATTGTCTCTTGTATTTTTAAACAATTTCTGCAAAATTTTATAAGTTTAATGTAGACTATTATTGTTTCTCTGATTGGTTAAAAATCAAATTGAAGATTACTTAATATGGTTTTTTCGTACATAATATCATAGGAGAGAACATTTTGTCGGAAATACTATCGAGTAGTACGAAAGTTTGTTGCCTATGGCAATTTTCGCGAATTAATAGCAATTAACGCACCATATCAACGAAACATAATCTTTATTTATTTTTTAACAATATTAAATGTACAATTATTATATGCTATAGTAGTTTGCCCATTCGTTCTTCTTCATATACCATGTTCTTTCAGAACGTTAGTTACCATCACAGCTATCTTAATTTTATTCACTGTCACCCTAAATAGCATGCTTGTATCAACACCATACCAATCTCGCAAGTTCTTCAACCATGAGGTTCTTCTTCGTCCTGGACTGCGTTTGCCTGCTGTTTTTCCTTGCATGAAATTTTGTAGCAACCTATCTTTGGGACCTCTCATTACATGTCCGAAATATTCCAGATTTCTATGCTTGATACTTTTTATGATCTCAGTAGTCTTACTGAGACGTTCCAGTATTGTGGAGTGTCGAATCTTCTTCACCCAGAAAACTTTTAAAATTCTTCTATAGCACCACATTTCGAAAGCCTCAAGGCGATTTAGATCGATTTTATTCACAGTCCAGGACTTAACCCCATAAAGTAAGACCGGAATACGTAGCAGCAAAGTAGGCGGATCCTTAATGCCAATTTTAGGTCTTTGTTACATAACCCTTTGGAGATCCTTCTAAAAGCAGCTCTAGCCTGCTCTATCCTAGATATAATTTCGCCGTGGCTTTCTGTGTTACAATTTAATTGCTGTCCAAGGTAAACGATTTTATCAACTTGCTCAAGTTTGGTATTATTTACATATATAGACGGTTTTATATGCTGTTGTTTACTTATTACGAGTATTTTGGTTTTCCGTATGTTAAGATCCAGACCTGCCTCCCTACAACTCTCAACCACACTATCAAGTAGTGTTTGCAGATTTTCTTGACTAGAAGCTAGGGGTACTCTATCGTCCGGATATCGCAAATTATTGATGACTTTGCCGTTCACACGTATTCCTTCTTGTTTTTCGGAAAGTGCTTATCTGAAAATTCTTTCGGAGTAAAGGTTAAAAAGCAGGCGTAAATATAAGTTTGCAATTATTCGAACATCTCTGCTGTCCAAGCCAATGTCTTTTAGAGCTTCGAACAATATAGATTGCTTAACCCGATCAAATACCTTTTGGAAGTCAATAAAACAGTATATGTCTACAGATATATCACGACATGTTTGAGCAAGTACGTTCATTCCAAACAGTGCCTTTCTCGTTCCAAACCCGTTACGGAAACCAAACTGAGTGTCACCCAGGTTTTTCTCGCATTTATTGTAGATACGACCATGTATTACCTTCAGAAAAATTTTCAATAAGTGGTTTAACAAACTGATAATTCTATAATCAGCACAGGTTTTTGCTGTTTTCTTCTTAGATAGAGCTATAAACTGAATTTAACCAGGACCAGTCGCTCTGCCATCTTTTGATGATTGTATGGATTTTATAACCTCAGAGCATGTTAATAGGGGTCCGGTACAGTTAGTAATATCGGGAGGTAAACTACTCCTATCGTCTTTAAATAGGTTCGTGACGTAATTTTCCCATTTTTTCCAAGTTTGTCCTCTACTTCAAATAGTACTTTACCATTTTCATCCTGTAGCAATGCAGTTTATTTCTTATTGAAGATACCAGCCGCTTCTTTCACTTTTTTATACATGTTAAACGTGTCGTATCTTTTTTCAAGTTCTTCAATGTCATGACACTGTTTGGCTAGATGTTGACTCTTTGCTTCTCGTATTTCACGTCTAATTTCTTTTTGTTTGTGCTTTTTGTTTTGTTTTTCGCTAGTCACCGTTGATCCATCAAATCCAATATGTCATCTGTCATCCAAGCCTGCTTTTTTAGTTTTGACCTGCCTTGTAAATTTTTAACACAGATTTCTTTTATACCTCATCGACGTTTTCACCAATATTTTCTCAAACTAAATTTTCGTTCAGTTGTCGTTGAACTGATTCCTTTCTTGTCTTGTAATTGGGCTGTATCAATATTTTTGCGAGACTTCTTTTTGATCACATTTGCCCATTCTTTTCTACCAAAGCATGATTTTGTGTATTATTGACCTGTAGCATTTGGGAACTCAAAGGTCCAGCTTAATTTGTTGTTCTGAGATTATTGATCAATTTCTGGTGATGACTGGAATCCAGCTGCAGATATGGTTTTAGAGGGCTTACGTCTGAGTGACCCGTTAATTTAATTAATTCCAGTTTAGACACATCTTGCTTGAACAAGGCCGACACAGCTGCAGATCGATGAGAAAGGTTTGTTTTTTTATGTCTACTCAATTTTTTTTTAGTTGACATTTTTGTCCACTTAGAGACGATGTTAATTTAAAGTGAACAGTTTTCACACCAAGATAGTTACTTCCAGTTGGGGTGAATAGTAAGAAAAGTCTGTCCAATACAATTTTTGTAATTTCAAAATAATCTAACTTAGCATAAATTTTGGTTTGATGAATTTCTTACCAGATATTTGGTGCTTGCCAAATTTTTCGAACTGCCTTGATTTGTTTTGGAAAAAATGCTGTTGTATTCAATTCAGCTCGTAAATTCGTACATAACATCAAATTCCTTCTGGAAAAAGTGAATCTTGCAGTTTACGGCCTCATTACCTCTCAAAGTAAGTTCAAATAAGCAAAGGTTCCATTGGGGGTTTTCTGGTCATAGCTTTGGATGATTTTTAATAGTTCTTCGGTGGATAATGCTTTGAAACTGAGTTTTCTTTTTTCTTGAACACTTTAAAGCTGCCTCTGTTTGGTATCCCTGGCCAATCTTGCACATTTGAAAGATATATCTGTGAAAGGGTCGATTTTTATACCGTACTCTGTAAAATATTTTTTTTGTACCATTTTTGCTGTAGTATTCCAAATTAACTTTACAAACGACTCTTAATAATCTTCGACGTTGCCTTTTTTCACGTTAAAGGCCTATTCCTCAAGCATTTCGTAAAATTTCTTACCAATAGGAACTCAGAACATTTTCCAAAATCAATTGTTTGATTTCTTTACCTGACTGGTATTCAAGCTTCAACAAACCAATGACATAAAGTACCTTGGTATGCATTTAGATCATCGAATGACATAGAGAACACATATCTTCTTTACACAACCTAAACAATTGGGATATACCTTTACCAAATGTACTAAAAATATAAAATAATCTTCTAATTTACAAATCAATTCTGAAGCCGGTATAAACATAATGAATAGAATTCTGGAGTGCTGCAAGTAACTCAAACCTCAAAGATTTTGAAATAATCCCCTGCGCATAATAACAAATGTCCCGTGGTATTTACCCTATATGCTAATCGGAAGAGACTTGAAAATATCATCCATACAAACAAAAATAACGTGCTGGTGCGTAAGCTGCAAGAACCCAGAGGTGAAGTGCGTCGCTTAAAACGATTCAAAATTCAAACCTTCTTCTTCTTAAAGTGCTCTCTCCTCAATGGAGGTTGGCTACTACAATTTTAAACTCTTCTCTATCTTCAGCTGTTCTTATTAGCTGTTCAAAATTTAGCCCTGTCCGTTGTCGGATGGCTCAGAAACATCGTCGTGATTATTGAATCATCGTCGTGAAATATTGTCGGATGGCTGGATGGATGGCTGGATGGATGTAAATTCATACCAACGGACTTAAGTAATATTATATTTAGTTAGGTAATAATAATATGTGCAATAGTAGTTTTGTAAACTAATATTAAAGGTATTTTCTCATTGGAAAAATTTTCTACATGTACTTATCAATATTAGTCACAATTTTACTTCTTCTTCGTAGCTTAGAACAAATTGTTAATAAAGTGAAGACAAATAAATAAAAATGTGGGGCTTCATCTAAAATTCCATTATCTCAGCAATTCTGTTGTAATTAACTTTACTGGAAATTTATATATAAATAAAGTAAACGTATGGATTTATCTTTCTTATTATTTGAATTTAAGTTTTAAAAATAAATTTAAAAAAATTTGTTTAATTTATTAATGTTTCGTATTTTGATAACGATTTTCAAAGTGGAAATCAAAACGTCAAAAATAAACTTATTTTAAACTTAAATGGAGCCTTGTAATGGTCTTTGAAAATAGTGCTGTTTTATATTTCTTGTTATAGTTACCACTAAAGAGCAAAAGGAAATATGGCATAAGAGGTCTGTTTAGGATTAAGCTTAAGAGGTCGAAATTAGCGAAAATAGCAACTATCAATTGTGAATAAATTATAAAATTAACTGGTTTCACTCATTATTGTTGTTGTTACAAAGAACATAGGCTTACCCTTTGGTTCTATTAATGTATTCGTAACGCAGGAATAAAGAGTTGGTCGCAGTACCGTAATACGAAACCTTACACTTGTTTCAGTCTTTGTGACACAAAATACAAAGGAAAAAGCCAAATTCTGCCTACTTCAGCATGATAAATGAGACAGCCAGTTTAAGTTTTACGAAATAGAAAAAGAACGGAGGTAAGGGACCTATAGAACCAAAAGACAGACAAGAATACGTGGATTGACTACCTAAAAACGCTAGCAGATGAAGAACAAACGACGTTAGAACCGGAAATACCAGAAATTACCACAAATGAAGAACTTAATATAAATGTACATGAAGTTCGGAAAATACTTGAAAACCTGAAGAACCGGTGTTCAAATATTTTCTGACCTTTTAATATTTCAGTGACCTGAAGAACAGGTTACTGAAAT